TATGTACATATTCCGAAATTTTTTTTATTTGTAAAGGCTCTCAAGAAAAACTAAAAATTCATATAAAATTACGCACAATAAATGGAAAATAAATTTTCTTCTATAAAAAATTTCTTAAATCAGTATGCAGCTCTTAAGAAAAAATGCTCGTACATCTCGTCGCTACCATGTCCCACTATCGAATGTGAAAATCGGCACTTTTCAAAATTTTGATTTGCCACTAATAATTTTATTTCGTATAGCAGCATTGCTTAAGTTATTGTTTTTGAAAACTTATTCCTTGGTTAATGACTGCAAATAGTTTTATAGAAAATTAGAAACGAGAATTAATACTTTCATAAAAATTTAAGTACATACATAGATTTAAAAAGCTGCTTGAATACAAGAGTTTTATGAAAATGTCACGTTAAACAACTGTCTAAATCTACTTTATTTTGTATAAGTAAGGCCGTAAACATTTCCTTACATCGTCAATTTACATATTCTGTTTTTACTCTTTAAATTTCACTGACCAGCGCCACTAACGATATCAACTAGTGGGCTAACAACCGGAATTGAAATTTAATACGCAAGTACTTACCGTACAACAAGTATACAGAGAGTAGATTTGCTACTCCCTTTTGGCGGCAGCAAATATCTCACGTACGCGATGAGGGAAAGTAGAGTATCTACTTTGGTGGAGTAATAGCAAGTACGTCAAGTATTTACTCTCTCAACGCCAAGTAGTGTATGTATGCGGAAAAAGAGTAACAATGTGTTGGGAGTAGAGTACAATGCAAGGAGTACTTATTGAACGAAATGCGGAAAAGCACTTGCGCTGGACTCTAATACGTATCTATGCACATACATACATATGTACTTAGGTATGTATATCAGCATTTTAGTTGAAAGTACGTTTTGCTCGTCGCTCTCTTCATCGCTCCACTACATTCCTGTCCTTAAGCTGAAATTAGTCGAGAACGCAGAACGTATACTTAAACGCAGTCTGTACACGCAGAATTTTGTCGATTACTGGAGCCCACAGTGTTGCTTACTACACTGTTGCCACTCATCAATGCCTTTTCATAAACTTACCCGTTTCAACTAAAATTTTTCGTGCTATAATAGATTTTAGCTAAATATAAACTACTTAGTTTTCAACAAAAACCTTATTCAATAGTAAATTTCAAATATTTGAAACATATTTTGAATAGGAACTTATATCTTTTTTACCATCTGTAAAACTGACGAAGTGGCAACCATCTAAAGAAGGAGAAATCAGCTGACACGGAAAAATCTAAATTCCGCAGATTTCTGCGCTACGGGCTACAACTACAGAAAAATTCTGCGGTGTTGAGTTTTCATTTACATGGCGCTTTGGTAAGACAGATCGTGTCAGCTGACTCGGGTTTACGTACCGGTAGGTTTACGTTCTTGACTAATTTCAGCTTTAGTTTTATTCAGATACCACAAAGGCATGAACGAAAGTCACAAGATCACCCGGGAAGGAAAGAACGAAAAAAGTTATTTTCTGGCTGCCGAAATCTCGACGCCATCTTTGTTGTAAGAAGTAAACAACGAAGAGAACGGAGACAACCGCGAAATTGTTGAACGCATGAAAAATCAATTTTATTATGCAAATTCTTCTATAAATCATGCCGTTGTGTTAAATTATTCTTTATCTCATGTGTACACACGTTGTCACAAGCGAAAATGAAGAAAATTGCAGTAAAAAGCCACCACCAAATTGTAAACAACGAAGAAATGTAAACAAACGGCTAATGTCAAAATCGTTCAACTTTTTTGCTAAATGCGATTCTAACGGGCTACTCTCCTGCCCGCGTGATATTATCTTTGTGGTTCATGCCACAAATGTATGTTTTCTTCGAAAATACTCAAGTACTACCAGTAGAGTACTCTACTGTCAAATACCTTTTACTCGCAGTAGTTGCGGAAGGCAAAATAAATCCTCTACGCGTCTTGCTATTGATCGGTAGTTTACGTACGCTTGCAGAAACTGGTTTATGCTTACTCACACTTGACCCGAACGATGAGAGTAAAGGAGGGAGAGTATTTGCGCGGCGATCTGATGTCTTGTCAGGCCGTTTAAATGAAATTGCGCAGGAGTTTAATATATATGTATATATATATACAAGAATTGTTCGTTTAATGTAATAAGATGCATATGTATATGTCAATGAGATTTTCTTTTAAATCGGTAAGATGTACGAATGTATATAAAATTAAAGTGTGTATAAAACTGTTAACGGCAAAACCGAAAAGTATTCAACATTGCGAACGCCTTATAAGAAAAAGTGAATTATTTGGTACTAAATATAAATAAAATGGCAGCACCATACGCCAATTTGCATTTTCTCGTTTCAGTTCGGGAACATTGTTTTCTTTTTTTTAATAACAAAATAAAAAATTTTTTTGTTGTAAAATTTATGTACTTTAAGAAATTGTTTTTAATAATATATTTTACTAGCGTTTCAAAAAAGAATATTGATTATTTAGTGCACTTTTGAGAGTGAAATTGCTTATACCAAGTAATTTTTAGCAAAAAAAAAACCGACTTAAAAAAATATATATATATATATATATTTCATGATTAAATGATCGGATCTAAACCAAATTAGTATGGGACCACCTCTGAGACACTGCGTTGCAAAAAGAATTATCGGTTGACGTGGTCCAAAGTTATGCGGTAACATACATCAAAAAATAAAAATAAAAAATACAATAAAAATAAAAAAATATTCCGACGAACTGATAACCTCCTCCTTTTTTGAAAGTCGGTTAAAAAGAGCCATATTTCAAAAAAGTGTTTTGTAAATAACTTTTACATGGTTAACAATATTACCCCTCCACCTCCGAAAGTTAATACAGGGATAAAAACGCGCCGATTGGACATTCTTTTTTGCAAGTTTTACCTTAAACTAGAGAGTTACCGAGATAATTTTTATATGCACACCGGCTGTGCGCTAGGGAAGCATTACAAAAAAATTATCAAAGGTGCTATAACCGGAAGTCAAATAAAACCATATGGCGTTATTTCCTATGGCTTTATTGCACGGCGCCGGCTGATAGAAAAAACTTTTTGTAATCTTATGGTGATTTCGTTTCTTCCAAAAAATGGGTGCTAAATGGGTTTTATGTTACATGTTGCCTGTAAAAGGGCATTGTTTTGTCTACTTATCCTTGTCTAGCTAATGCGTTTCATAATATTTCATTTTAAGAGACCATCTGATTTTCATGGCAACAATCACCCCTGACAAAGTTTCAAAGGGCAGAGAATGTGTCGTCTTTGCCTTACAAGAGTGCGACATTTTCAAAACCGTTTACTTTATTTTAGAATCGAACACGAAAAGGGAAAGTGGCAATCAAAAGGCGAAATTTTGTAATAGAGACGAAAACACCATTAGATGCTGCTCGGACCAAGAATCAAACACAGTGCCTAAGTGCAGAAAATAGATATAGTATATTTCGGCCATATTTAACTCTGTGTGTATATATTTAACTCTAGATGTTCTGCAAGTGGGCCTAAAAAATTTTAAATTTATTTTTGCTGTAACATAAACAAAATTGTTAAATACTTTTTTTTTAGAATTTTAGCGAATAATGAGATAACTTATATTGACGATTCCGCATTCTTTGGCTCACAAATTGCAAAACTGTAAGTATTTAGTACCACTAGTACTTTATTTTAGCTTATCATTAATTTAAGAAATGCACTCTAAGTAGTTTGATAATATTTGACTTACAAACGTACACATTTTTCTTAATTTCAGGATTTTAAGGCAAAATCGTGGTCTGCGGAAAGTCCATCCCAATGCGTTTAATGGAATAAGCATGCATGAGTTGTGAGTAAACTTAAGTAAACAATTTTCGATTGCATTCTATACATAGATAAAGCTAGAACTTAATTCTTTATAATACTTGCTGTGGTCGGAGAGTGGCCAAAAGTCCTGAAATCGAAATGTGTGGAAATATCCAACTAAGTGCTTGACTCGATTCTAAACGTGCCTAATAACAGGTTTTTAGGAATTTTTCAGTAGCTCAATTTAAATAAGTAAGAAAGTCTAAGTTCGGGTGGAGCCGTGCATTAAATACCCGCCGCAAGTATTAAATATATGTTTTTTCACCTTTCCGAAAGCTACCGCTAGATGGTAAGGCGGGGTGTATCAATTTTGAGTAAATTAGCGTCCTTAAATTTCGAAATATTGCAGTTTAAAGCATTTATGAAATTTACCGTTATATGAAAAGCGGCCGTAATTTTAGTCCGATTTCAATTTTCAACGTTTTGATTTTATGTGGCAAGCACAATAACCGTACCGAGTTTGGTACAAATTGGTACGACGGTTACCGATAAACATATATGTGATCATAAGTGGGCGGGGCCACGCCCATTTTCCAAAATTTTGCCATAAACGAATTTCTTGGTAAAGAATTGTTGCAAACATCAATCTTGAATAAATTAGCTTCAATAATTACTGATTTATCGAAGATTACGTATTTCTCAAACTTTCCGTTATATGGGATGTGGGCGTGGTTATTGCCAGATTTTTTAAATTTTCTGCCATTTAGTATGCTGTACCAACAACAACTGTGCCAAGTTTGGAAGAAATTGGTGCAGCGGTTTCCAAGATATACACATGTAACCATAAGTGGGCGTGGCTGCGCCTATTTTCCAAAAATTTATAATATTCTTATTTTTCGTCTGAAAATTATTGTAAATATCAATTTTGAGTGAATTATCTTCAGTAGTTACTAAAATATCGCAGTTTTCGTATTTCTGGGAATTACCGTTATATGGAAAGTGGGCGTGGTTACAATCCGATTTCCATTTTCAATAACAACCTACCTTGGATTAATGGAAACTTACATACCAAATTTCGTTGAGATATCTCAATTTTTGCTCGAGTTATCGTGTACCCGGACGGATGGACAGACGGACGGACAGACAGACATGGCTTAATCGACTTCTCTATTCATTCTAAGCATTTATGTATACATTTGTCTATATCTATATCTATCTCGATTCGTTTTGGTTGTTACAAACAACCGTTATGTGACCAAAATTAATATACCCTTGTGCAAAAGTGCGTTCGGGTATAAAAATGTAATATGTATTCCGCTGACCTTTGCGAGTTTGGTGGGCGTGGCAATGTGCTAATTTTGACCATACTTTAGATTTATTAGTTTTTGGTTAAAATCAAGGTCCAAATCGATTTAAATAAAATCGGGTAGTATTTCTCATTCCTGTCCACTAGTGTGAGGGAGTGGGGCGTGGCTGGTCGCCAATCCACATAATTTTTTATATTTCTGGGCTTTTATGTAAAGATAGATATTGCACAAAATTTTTGGTATTTTCGAGGATCGTTACTAGTCCTTAGCACATTAGAATTGAGAATTCGGGTGGCTGGTGCGCGTGGAAGTTGACCGATTTTTACCATCGCTCAGATTTATGTGTTCCTAGGTTAATCCAAGTCACAGAACGAATTTCATTGAAATCGGATAACATTTACTAAATCTGCCCCCTATGGAAAATGATTTCTTATTTTCTGTCAATTTCCATATAAAATTCAAAAGATTAAAATAATTTTTTACTTATGTACATAAATTGCTTTCGTGAAATTGGCTGCTAATATATTAGTACGAGAGCTAGCAACGTCTTTTGATATTTCTTTCCTTATTGTAATTAGAGAGGGAAAGCATAAGTCCGGCACCTGGGAACGGTTGCCTCAAAGAATCGATTCTTGTAGTCTTTTCCCTTTCTGATGAAACATCGATTCTTGTACTCGTATCATCAACAAAAAGCATCGATACTACCGATTCTTTGATTACTTTTTGGAAAATTTAATACAATGTATACATCCTTTATTTATTTAGGTTCGAATAAAGCAAACGTACACGTTAGTTATTATATCTACAGAACAAGAATTAAATACAAGATTGCGTTAAAATAAATAAATATTAGTGGCAAACTCGATGTTTTCCCTTCTGACAAGACTTTCTTAGAAGAACTACATTTTGAATGAAAAGAATATTAATCGTCTTGATTGATGAGTACAAGCGCTACCATAAAACGAACATGGTTATCATTCGATTCCATGCACTTTTAAGTAAGTTTCCTGTATAGTTGCAGTGCCTGATCAATTTTTGTGGTAGTACTAAATGAAACCCTGCGCTAATTTTCCAGTTGCAAAATAAAAATCAATCTGGCATCAGTCAAATTGTTTGTCTTCCTTTTTTCTCTCTGGATGTCATCGGAATTGGACGTGCTTGCCTTAATACCAACGCGAACTATTAACTTGTAATTATCTTATAAACAACTAAGCGGTCTTTTAATAATGAAAGCCTTTTAAATATTATTCGGGTCTTTGGTTTATTTAAACGAGTTCTTTGTGAGGTAAACTCAACACAAAACCTCCAAATATATATTATCGTCTTCAGCATTAGAGATAGCACAAAGACATATAACCTAACAAAGGTAACAACTATTGATAATATTGGGGTATCGAGGTAAAGTATCGATAATTTTACTCGAGTATTTCGTTAAAAGCATCGATGGCAAAAATATTCGGAAAGGAACAAAAAGTATCGATAGTATCGTACTTGTAAATAGTATCGTCCTATCCCTAGTTGCGTATACCTGTGGTCATCCCTCTCCACAGGTGGAAATTGCGGATTTTATAATCATTTTAAGATAAATAATATTTATACCCGAGGGCACTTGTGCACAAGGGTAAATTACATTTGTTCACATAATGGTTTTTGGTAACAGCCAAAACGAATCGGGATAGATATAGACAAAATGTCTGTAAAGTTGGCATACGGTATGACGCAAAAAGACAAAAAAAAACTGTTCTGAGTAGCTTTTCAATAGTTCTAGAATTCTTGAAGAGGAAAACAAAAGTTCTGGATATTTTGAAAAAAAAGTTGCTTTAAAAATTGTGTATGCCATTTTCACGCAGCCTACGACATATGGCAAAAAGACAAATAAAAAATTGTTCTGAGCAGCTTTTCAATAGTTCTAGAGTTCCTGAGAAGGAAATGTAAAGTTTTGCAAAATTACGCCGAAAAAGTCAAAAAAGTTAAATTTTTGAAAAAAAATAAAATTTAAATCTGTTCTGAGTAGCTTTTCAAAAGCTCTTAGAGTTCCTTAAAAGGAAAAAGAAATTTCTGCAAAATTACGGCGAAAAAAGTTTTTGTTTTTAATCTAAAAATACTTGGAAAAAATAAAAACTGAAAGTGTTCTGATAACCTTTTCAACAGTTCTACAGTTCTTGAGAAGGAAAAAGGAAGTTCTGTAAAATTAATCATTAATTTAGTCATTCAATTTGATGGAGGGAGTATTATGGAAGATATGGCGCTTTATTGACCAGATACAGTGCTTTCAGCTTCTTAAAAGCTTTTTTTTTTTTAATAAATAACTAAATTTGAACAACGTGGGTACGTGAGGTACGTGCGCTTCTCCCCTTCAAAATGAGATATCATTCATTATATTTGATAAAATATTATAGGAGACATCGTTTGGTAACAGAAAAATAATAATAATAATAATAGATTGGCGCTGATACATATGTTAGTGTTTGGCCGAACTTCTCCTCCGATTTGTGGCGTGCGCCTTGATGTTGTATCACAAAGGGGAGGGACCTACAGTTTTACGCCGACTCCGAACGGCGATTGTATTCTTATGAGAAGCGGCTTTTCTTGGCAGAGATTCACTCGGAGGGTTGAAATTGCCTGCGACCGCTGTTAAGAAAAAAAACTTGTTTCTAAATTTTTATGCGATGTTGCTTTGGCCAGGGCTTGAACCAAGGCCCTGCGGAGAGGAAGCTCGCACTGCTTACCACTACACCTGCAATGCTTACCATTAGCCGGCAGCCGATTTGTTAGCCGTTTTCCAAAAAAAAAAATTATCCATTTTTAGCCGATTTTGCTATTGGCTAAATATTCGCCTTATTTTATTAAACTTCAAATATAGAAGTTTCTATTTTTACAAATTTAGTGATCCAAAATCAATTAGAATTGGCTAGTCTTATCTCGGAGAAAATTTTCAAGTCGGACTGTGTTATATAAAATCGAAAGACAATTTTTTCTAACCCGAAAAGTCTTCAGATTCAATGTTTTTTGTTTTAAGCGATTTCAATGTTTTTTGTTTTAATCGAGTGACCCAAATATATATAAACTGCGACGCGTCATATTAGCTGATTAACAAGTTACAAATTTTGCTGAAATTTTGCAGAATTTTCATAATTTTTACACAAAGTCTTAAACCTGCAGTATATGGTGTTTGTTAAGTAATCAGCTACATATTCATAAAAAAATAATAAATATTAAATAAACTTAAGAAAAATAGGCAAAACTTGCTTAAGTGTCGCGTCCCAGTTTATTTTTAAGAGGACGTAGCGGGGATTTTCTTCACAAAATTGTTGTTATGAATGTCTTAAATTTAAATGTGAAGTTTTATTCGCAACACTTAGAAAATAAAAGAGCACGAATTTCGATGTGGAGCAAAACTCTCTGGGAAGACAATACCTGTGAATAATTGCATCATGGTTTAAACATACTTTATTTTTGTAGTTATTATTATTTCCGCGTTTGTGGCCTTCGGCCGCGCTAGAGGAAATAATTTCATCAGTCCAACTCCGGTTACGCCATCCACAGTATTTTTGCGGCAAATCCACCTCCAAATTTACAAAACAAGTGCATTTTTTTTTTAACTTAAAGCTTAATCCCTTTGCTAGACGTATATTTAAAATTTCTTTGATTCTGGTCACGCGTTTGGACACGACAACCCAAAATCATAGTACAAATAATCGAACCGTACCGAGACGGTATTACTTTTACATTTTTC